GTGTAGACAGGGTCTACAGTCTAGAAAACGGGTCACTCTGTGGGTGTGGATATGGCCTAAGAGTCTAGAAGCATCAGTTTCCTTTCTCTCATGAAAAGTGGTAGGAATGAGCAGGAGCTGTTGTAATAAAAGAAAACCACTAACCCTGATTACACTGGGACCAAAGAGAAAGGCTTCTCTGGGCGAGTCTGACGTCCCTTATGTCACTAGTCCTCACCAACATCAAACCCAGTACACAAAGGGTGCTGAGGACAAAAGAACCAGCAAGTGACACCCAAAGGCTGAAAACACAAGGGTTGATATCCAGAACTTGCATACTTTACAACTATTGATCCTGATTTACTTTTTTAAAGATTTATATATACTTATTATATATACAGTGTTCTGCCTGCACACCAGAAGAAGGCACCAGATCTCATTACAGATGGTTGTGAGCCACCATGTGGCTCCTGGGAATTGAACTCAGGGCCTCTGGAAGAGCTGTCAGTGCTCTTAACCTCTGAGCCATGTCTCCAGCCCCTAAGTTAGTTGTTAATTTTATATTTATATATATATATATATCTCCCTTCACATTGTTAGGTATGCCTGTAATCTCAACATTTGGAAGGTAGAGGTAGGATGACTGGGAGTTCAAGGCCAGCCAGATCTACAAAGTGAGTATGAAGCTAGCCTGGGCTACATAGATCTTGTCTCAAAAAACAAAGCAAACAAAACTTCACATAAAAGAAATACATACCTATTATTCTTTTCCTTAGACTACGAGGTGGTGTTGACAGGAATTCAGTTTTGCCATTGTTCTGTTTAAAATGTAAAAAGCACAGTAAGTAATATGAATAATCAATAATATTTTAATGACTAATCGATCATAGAAGTAAAAAGAAACTCTAAGAAAGAAAACTATGCTGAGCTAGATGAGTCCATAGTTCCTAACACTGGGCCACAATAACAAATGAATTTGCTGACATATAAAAAGAAATATACAAGTTCTAGGGCTGGACAGGCCACCGCTGGCAGGAGTCAAGGGGCCTGGAGACTGGAGAGGCGGGTTCTGCCAGGACCTTAGAGCCACGGAGCCTACCTCTCTGTCTAAACCATCCTCCCCGGCCCCTTCAGCCTCCTTGTTCTACTCATTCTGTCTGCTCTTGCAGACGGAAGCCCCACCACGCCACGCGAACCCTTGTTTCTGCACCGACTGCTCAGCTGCCGTGACACAAACAGGCGGGATGACAGCTCAGAGGTTAAGAGCCCTGGCTAGGAGGTCCCTAGAACACTGCACACATAAAAAATAAATAAAACTTAAAAAAAAGCCCCCATAGGCTCACATAGGACTAGGAGGTGTGGCCTTGTTTGAGGAAGTGGGCTCTGACATTGCAAAAGTCCACGCCAGGCAGTGAGGATGTAGCTCTAAGCCACTTCTCCACATCACTCGCCTGCTGCCAGGTTCCCTGCCATGTTGATTATGAAGTGTCTGAGTGTAAGACCCTGGTCAAAAGCTGTCTTTAGTAAGAGTTATACGCCTTGGTCATGGTGTCTCTTCTCAGCAATAGTACAGTGGCTAAGATACTTTTCAAATTCTCTTACATGTTCTCTGGGTTGTGTAGACTACAGGGACTTAAATCCAAGTTACATGTGGTAAATTATAAAGCTCTCTGATACAGATACCCCAATAGATGGCCTCTTAGAGAGGAATTCACCCTGAGTGCTATATTGCTTGCCTACTATATAGTTTTAGGAATGTAGTATCTATAATGGTTTGAATGAGATGGTTCCAAAGTCTTGCACACTTGAACACTTGGTCCCCAGTTGGCGGCGCTGTTTAGGTGGTTGGGGAGGTATGGCCTTTGTTGGAGAGAGACTCAAGTCATTTCCACTTTGTTCTTTGTGCTGTGGTTCAAGATATGAGCTTCTGCTTCTGCTCCAGCAGCTATGCCTGCCACTGCCGCTTCTCCTTCAGCGCCATGGACGCTGACCCTCTGGAAGTGTAAACCCAAATACGCTCTTCTGTAGACTGTGAGTCCGGCTGCTTTATTACTGCGGCAGCAGAGGAGCGACTGCACTGACGGATCGCACACGTGAAGGAAAAGACCCCTGCTACCTCATCTCATCCTTAGAAACTGACTTGTAGTGTGCACACCTTTAATACAGCACTCGGTAGTCTGAGGCAGGCGGATCTCTGTGAGCTCAAGGCCAGCCTGACCTACAGAGGGAGCTGGAGAACAACCGGGCTACACAGTGAGACTGTCTCATATCAACAGAGGACGGAAGGAAACTGGGAAGTTGGCGGACTTCCCCGACACACAAAATTCACTGTTTACTCTAGTTTTTTCATAGATGGTAGGTTCAACAACTAGTGGGTAAAACTTAACCAGACAAAATACAAAAACATTTCATCAAGGTCATAGGGGACAGGAAGGCATCAACAATGTGATCTTCAAAATGCCTCCTCTCCCATCACGGTCACACAGAGGAAGGCCACCATGTCATATCTGAGGCTAGTCTCATGATCCCCATTACCCTCACAGTCACTTAGACGGGAAGGTGGGAGGGGGTGATCGAGAGATGTCCTGATGGAAAAGAGAGGAAAAAACCAAGACTGTCAACAATTCCTTCTGTTTTTCTAACATCTGCTTTTGGTCCTATACCCAGACAACTATCATCATTTGCTTGACCCACAGACCTTGAAAAGAAAAGTCTGATACTTTCCTACACTTGAGCCTGGCCTAAGTTTAAACTAAAAGATAAAAAGTGGCCTCACCTCCTTATCTAACTCAAAGAACAAGGCTCCTCTTTGCCTCTTCCTGAGAGCTGCCAACATTTTCAACTTGCCTGTCTTTTCCTTCCTTTAAATATTATTTATTTAATATGCATGTGTTTAAACATACTTACACATGTGGAGACCAGAGAGCACCTTGCAGGGTCGACTCTCATCTACCATGTGAGTTCCAGGGACTGAATGAACTCAGATTATCAGATCTATTTTGTATTTTGTGTATGGACTTTGTCTGCATGTATGTCTGTGCACCACATGTGTGCCTAGAGCACTCAGAAGCCAGCAGAGGGCACCAGAAACCCTCTTAGTGGGGTTACAGATGGCTGCACTGCCATGGGGGTGCTGGGAACTGAACCCAGATCCTTCTGGAAACGCAGCCAGGGCTCCTGAATGCTGATCCATCTCCAACCCTCATGTTGTTTTTCTTATAAATTCTAATAAAACTATCCTTGAGCTTCCCTCTGAATTCATTCACAAATTCTTTATTTATTTAAATTTTGTTTAGATTTATTTTATGTGCACTGAGTGTTTTGCTTACAAGTATGTATATGCACCACATATGTGCCTGGTGACCATGGAGGTTAAAAAGAGTGTCAGATCCCCTGGGTGGTAAGCTGTCACATGGGTACTGGAAACCAAACCTGGGTATTCTACAAAAGCAACAAATGCTCTTAATTGTTAAGCCAAACTCCCAGCCCCTTAAATTCTTTTATTAACAAGGCCAAGAACCAAAAAAGAGTCCAGTTTTCCTAGTAACATGGCATCTAACACAGGGCACTCCGAAGTTTCTGGTATTATCAGGTGCTCCTTCCCTTCTACTTTACTTGTAATACATATTACATATTACATACAATAAATATCATTTATTTAATTTGTATATGTGTCTGGGTGTATGCATGTGCACCACACGTGTACAGGAGACTGAAGAGGTCAGAAGAGGTCATCAGACAGACACCCGGAAAGTGAAGCTATGAGCAACCATTATCCACACTGTGGGCGCTGGGAACTGAACGTGGGTCTTTAGTAAGAGCAGCTGAGTGCTGTTAACCCCTATTCATTTTATTAAAACACAGGTACATCCTACTATAGTTATTTTAAGGTTGAGATTTGGAATAATTGATATCTATATAGCTAAATTATCAAGTCTGAGAACTTATAACATCCTTATCAAAATAACTTTTGAAAAATTCCAACCAAACTCACAAAATTCCTAGGCAAGTTCTACTAAGTTAAAAAACACCCAGGACAGCTGTGACACGGCAGTAAGAACACACAGCAGCTGCGTGCGGGAAACCTGGGCTGATTTTCCAGCTTTATTCCAAGTGAGATGAACTGAGCAAGTCATCTTTCTGAAACTCAAAACCTTCATAAGTCAGGTCTATAGCTGATAAACGCCCACAACTATAACGTTCAATTTAAACTAAGAGAGGAAAAGCTACTGCTTGTGTCTTGTTGGGTTGTCTGTCAATGCTTACCTCCTGCTGAACTTTCTCTGAAGTTGAATGTCCTAAATGAAAGAAAAGCCACATTTACTACAAACATTCCACTCTGGACCGTGGCCTCGTCTGTTGAAAGCACAGCTGTACTTTTCACACACGGCCACCACACTTTACCGACCTCATCTAACTACAGCCTGAAGGTCACTAAGCATCTTGCGCCTGCCCTCCCCATGACAGCGGTTTGTGGCGTTCTTGCACGGTACCATTCCAGCAAGGAAACAAAGACCTGGGTCTTCCTCGTTTTGATTAAAAAGTAGCCTATCTATCTTGGTTGGAACAGGTCATTCAAAAGTACATGTTCCATGATTGACAACAAGCTGTTCAACTAAAAACTCCCGAAGTCTTATATCACGGCATGTGCCCGAGCCACATGTTCCACGAGAAACTGGCTAACTCAGACCAACGGATGTGGAACTTCATGGTGCTTTTCAGCGCTGCCAATTCTCACCTCAGGTGCACAGAGGACTTTCTGCATCTGATACTGATGCTTTGTTGTTGATAAATACAGACATTAAAATTGGTGGGATTTTTAAAATTACAGTCTGTTGAATGAATTTTCAGAGAAAAGAATTTATGAAAATTCACTAAGATTTAAAAAGAGGAGAAGCAAAGATCATGCTGACGCAACTGTGAAAGTTCTTCAAAGAAATGTGACAGCGTCTTACCCTTGCTCTGCTGAGAGACGTTTTTCATAATTTCAGGATCATTCTTTGAGTCAATTGGAACAATTTTTCTTGGCGCTTTTGCTAGTTCTAAAGCTGTAATCAGGGGGAAAACACCTTTGTTGAATAGCACATAAAAAGGAAGGAGCTTTTACTCACAGGGGCTCTTTACACAAAAACCTGCATGTTACTTTATCATAAAGAGAAGTAAATCTACCATATTAAGAGTACAGATAGCTGGGAGATGGTGGCACACACCTTTAATCCCAGCACTCGGGAGACAGAGGCAGGCAGATCTCTGTGAGTTTGAGGCCAGCCTGGCCTACAGAGTGAGTTCCAGGACAGCAAGGGCTACATAGGGAAACTCTGTCTCAAAGAACAAAAAAACAAAAAAAGAGTACCACTTTTTAAAAAAGCTTTAAGCTGTCTTCCCAGCATTTTTTTTAATCTTTAAAACAATTACACTTACTCATCTGTGTGTGTGTGGATATATGCACACTAGTGTGTACAAGTCAGAGATGGCAGTCTTCTCTTCCCAAACACGGGTCCTGGAGATCAAACTCAGCCGGACACGTTTCATGACAATGCTTTTTACCGGCTGAGCCGTCGAACTCTTCCTAGCATCCAAATCTTCCAATCGTGCAGAAATTTCTCACAGCATAACAGAAACAACTGCTCTCATCTCTACCAGCTGACTACATTCCTCCTCCTCCTTCCTTTGACGTGTTCATTGTGTTCTCCTCCCTTTTTTTGAGACAGGGTCTCAATTTGCAGCTTTGGCTGCCCTAGAACTCGCCCTGTAGACCAGGCTGGCCTCGAACTCACAGAGATCTGCCTGCCTCTGCCTCCTCAGTACTAGGATTAACGGTATGCACTATGTCTGGCTTTCCTTTCTTTTCTTATATAAACTGTAGCCATGACCTCCTAAGGTGATGCATGGGAAGGAGCTGGATCAAAAAACCATGTAAAAACTGTATGTGGTTAAAATTCTGAAATTTTCTAAGAGTGGTGCTCTTGTATTTAAAGCTATACATATGAATGATTCATAAACTATAATATGGTCTTGAGCAGATGGCTGCTTCTCTGCTGAAGCACCAAATGAAACAGTTGGATTTATTAGCTAGAAACATCTATCTAATCTTTATCTCAACGATGCGTACACTCTCTCACGGGGACAGGCACGTGGAGAACGAGCCTACCCGAGGGAATAAATTTATCTTCTTTCTTTTTCAGATTTACCTTCATCATCCTTAGTTAAGCATGTGCACATGTAAGTGAGTGCAGATGCCCACGGCGGAGTTACAGGTAGCGTGAGTCACCTGATGGGTGTACGGAAACAGCCTGGGTCCTCTGCAAAGGCCGCACACACTTTAACTACTGGGCCACTTCTCCAGCCTATTTCTTTCATTCTTTAAATGGAGAAAGTATATCTGTATCTATTTTAAGCCATTTTACTGGCCCATATGCCCTTCCTAGCTGTTAGAATTTTTCAAGATCTTCTGATCTTAAGATTTAGCTAAGATACTCCACAAGCACTTCCTTTTTTAAATTTCCTGACTTTAATTTCCCATGGCTTTTCAACTTATCCGAATATAAACTATAAAGCATATACACCCTTGTCTGATACACAGGCCCTCCCTATCTCTCCCCTAAAACGTCTCCATAGATTCGATTCTCTGGTCCATGCTCAGCCACAGCTGGTGACTGCAGAAATGTGAATGGGTCATGTTTCCAATTCAGTGCCCTTTCCTCCTGTGTTCTTAACAAATTTCTATCAATTCTTCAAAAACTGGCATTGCCACCTTTCATGACTCAACCCCAAAGAATGCTTTTCTACTTTGGGCAACCATAGCTTATACACAACTCTACGGAGACTGGGTAGAAATAGAATAGTCCAAGCTTTGAAATCTAAACCTGGCTCCGCCACGTATCTGTGAGTTTAATTTACAGTATAGGCTCCCGGAAACAGACAGACAGACAGACAGACAGACAGACAGATGTATATACTGAGCACGGCACCGATCTTGGCATACAGTACTTGGTCAACAATAACTTCTACTGTTATTATGGAAATGACTTTCTTTTTAAGTAAGAGCAGCTCAGGATGTCTTGGAACTTGTGATCCTCCTGCTTCTATGTCCAGAGTGCTAGAATTATGGGTGCATGACATCACACCAGCTAACCGCACCATTCTTTAAGGAAATGTCTTGCTCTCTGTCCTCTAAGGACCACTTATTCCAGCATTCTTCCAGGGAATACAGCAGATGGTAACCACGGGAACGTGGTGTTAGTCTACCAAGACCGCAGGAAACAGGGTAACCACGGGAACGTGGTGTTAGTGTACCATGACCGCAGGAAACAGGGTAACCACGGGAACGTGGTGTTAGTGTACTGAATCAGGGTAATCACGGGAACGTGGTGTTAGTGTACTGAATCAGGGTAATCACGGGAACGTGGTGTTAGTCTACCATGACCACAGGAATCAGGGTAATCACGGGAACGTGATGTTAGTGTACCATGACCACAGGAAACAGGGTAATCACGGGAACGTGATGTTAGTCTACCATGACCGCAGGAAACAGGGTAATCACGGGAACGTGATGTTAGTGTACTAAATCAAGGTAATCACGGGAACGTGGTGTTAGTCTACCATGACCACAGGAATCAGGGTAATCACGGGAACGTGATGTTAGTGTACCATGACCACAGGAAACAGGGTAATCACGGGAACATGATGTTAGCCTACCATGACCGCAGGAAACAGGGTAATCACGGGAACATGATGTTAGTCTACCATGACCGCAGGAAACACAAGAGTGTCATACCTAATTTAGTCATTTCTTCAGAATGTTTTCTGGATTGAAAAGAATAAACTTTCTTCCCATCTACAGCTGAGCCATTTTTCAAGGATTCTGTAAAAGAAAATGCAGTATGCAATGAGGAAAAAGGAAGAAGATTGAGAAAAAAGATGAAACTTTAAATAGCTAAAATCTAAAAGTTATACCCATCACTATCTTTCATACAAGTTTACCAGCAGAAGCTGAACAGTGGAGGCGCACACGCCTTCAATCCCAGCATTTGGGAGGCAGAGGCAGGTGGGTCTCCGTGAGTACCAGGACAGGCTCCAAAGCTACACAAAGAAACCCTGTCTTAAAAAACAAAAACAAAAAAAAAAGTTTATCAACAGATATTTATGTACAAAATATTTCTATATACACAAGGAAAAGCAACTAATCTTGTTTATTTAATCATTAACACAAGAAACATGCTATTTATAGATATGATTTTTTTCCAGACTGGAGAGATTAATAGACTATGAAAACTAAACAAGAGGGTAAAACTGTGAGTTGAAAAGAGCTGATAATGTATGTAAGGCTACCTTCACTAGTTTTCTGTTACCCTAGTAAACAAAACCCTGGGAGCTGGAGAGATGAGCGTCTTCCTCTTCTAGAGGATCCGAGCTTGGTTCCCAGCACCTGCACCAGGATCCAATGTCCTCTGCAGGTCCAAGGACACACACACATAAAATAAATCTTAAAAAAGAAAATAAAATCTCTAAAGCAGGAACTTTATAAATAGCATGTCACACAGAAAGTCAGGAAGCTTGTGAGCAATCCAGGGGGCACGCTCATGTTTTTAAACCAGCTCTTTCAAAAACTGTCTTAATTTATTCTAAAGGTAAGTATAGCACTGCTCAGTCTAATGCTGTGTCTCCCGAGGCAGCACGTCTCGGGTGACTTAACTCCTAGTACCTTAGCAGTGCTCAGCATCACCACCCTGGGTACCACACTTCCAATGCATAAACCCCTGGGGACAAACCACAGCAAATGTTCTTATAGAACAGACGTTTGTCTTTCCTACTCTTCCTAAAGATTCTGTGTTAGAGCTGGATGTGGGTGCATGTACCAATTCTAGCCCCTGGGAGGAGACAGGGTGGTCAGTAGTTCAAAACCAGCCTGTGCCACATAATATCAAGTGTCAAAATGTCCAAGGAGGAAATGAAAAGATCCTTGGTTAGATGCCCCTGTGTTCTAAAACTCAGGCCAGTGAGATGGTTCAGTGGGCCAAGAACCTGACTTTGATGACGGGGACCCACTCGTGGGAAGGAATCAACTCCCCAAAGTTGCTGTCTGTGGTGAGCTCAAAGCCAGCGTGGGCCACGAGACACCCTGGCTCAGAAATGAATGAAAGATTGAATGGATAAACACAAAAGGTGGGTGGCAGCTGTGGAAGATGCCCAACACTGTCCTCTGACCTTCAGATACACACACATAAACAAATATAACTAAAAAGCTAGGAGGCTAGAGAGGTGCGTTGCACAGGACCCCAAGTGTGGCTGCTCACATCATCCTGTAAGTCTAGCTTCCTGAGGGATCCAATGGTGCTGGCATCTACGGACACCTACACTACACAGGTGCATGCACACATACAAGCACTCAATTTAAAAAAAAATAAATCTTTAAAAATATCAACACACAAAATAATGAAAATTTATATGTGCAAATGGCAAAGAAAGCACACGCTGAAATAGTTCCATGTTCACTGGTGTGAAGTGAGCATTCATCCACTTATTTATTTATTTACTTACTTACTTTTGTGCTAGACATTAACCCTAAAGCCTCAAGCATGGTGTACAAGTGCTCTATTACTGAACTACACTCTCAAATCTATTTTACTTTTTTGAGACACATCTTACTACCCAAGCTAGGTTGGTCCTGAACTCATTATGCAGTGCAACCAGGCCTTGCGATCCTCCTGACTCAGGCTCCTCAGCGGCTGGGATTAAAACTCTGTGCCACCGTCTAGCTAAGGAGGCATTAACAAGGGAAATGTGAAAATAAACCCTTGGTATTACAAAATCTATGGTCTTGAAAGAATCACATTACAAAAGCAGATACACAGTATACAAGTAACGCAACACTGTCATGGATGGGAGTGATTGTGAGGGAAGAGGGAAAAGGGAAGTAACACACGGGAGAAACAAAACACAAAATACAGGAGATAATGGACAAAGAACAAGGAAATCTTCCCGAAATACAGAGAAATAAAAGACAAGGTCGTGTTTATACTGGGCACTGATCCTCCAATCTAGTCGGGACCTGTGCAGGATGGGGGGTTAGTTAGAGCCCTGCAGCTAAGCCTGGCCTGGGTCTGAAACATCATCAGGACGTGACCAAATACTATCTGCAGGAAGTACTCTTACACGGAAACAAATATGTGAAATAATGGTCTCATTATGATACCTGCAGATCTCATTATACCTCGCTCTTGTTGTCCATCCCTGAGTATTGTTTGGAGTCTCTGAGGCTAACACAAGCAGTCATCAATTCGACAAAGAATGCATCCCAGAAGTGTCAACTGCTTAGTCAGGAATACTCACTAAACCTACTGAGGGACAGTGGCTCACTGAGCTCAACTAAATTTGGGCTCCTTCTTGAAAATCCAGAATAGAGTTGGTATTCCAGGCCTGTTTTTCCAGCTACTCAGAAGACCAAGTTACTTTTGTACATTCTGAAAAGCAGGTCCTGCTACTACCCCTCCCCCACTGAATACCTTGAATATTTCTTCCCAAAACTTCCACGTAGTTCTGATCCTTTAAGACTTCCTGGTCACTCTTCTCTAGTTCACATTCTGGTTTCTTTATTATTTTCTGAGGATTGACCAAAAGCTGAGCTTTCTCCTTTTTTAATTTAGTTCCTACAAAAATATATAAAATAAGAATTACAGATTTTCTTTTTTTGTTTTGTTTTGTTTGTTTTTTGAGACAGGGTTTTACAGCCCTGGCTGTGCTGGAACTCTCTCTGTAGACTGGCCTTGAACTCAGAGAGATCTGCACATCTCTGCCTCCTGCAGTGTTGGGATTTAAGTCATGAGCCACCACCGCCTGGCATGAATTCTTTCTAAATATTACATTAGAGTCACCCAGATGGCTCAGCAGACAAAATGTGCGCCACACCAGCCTGATGGAAAAGAGATCCATTTCCAGAGCGCTGTCCTCTGACCACCATGTGTATGCTACATGTCACCACGTGTGTGCTACACATGTCAGCAGACATCTACACCAAATGCACGATTAGTACATAAGGCCTCTGGGGAAGTTACTGTTTTATCTTCCCTTAAATGTGTGAAGTCAGCTGGGCAGTGGTGGCACATGCCTTTAATCCCAGCACTCGGGAGGCAGAGGCAGGTGAATCTCTGTGAGTTTGAGGCCAGTCTGGTCTACAAGGTGAGTTCCAGGACAGCCAGTCCTGTTATACAGAGAGACCATCTCAAAAAACCAAAACCAACCAAACAAACAAACAAACAAAACCCAAACAACAAAGATGTGATCCATGAGCATCTCTTCCAAGTGTGCAACCACACATACCTCCTTCTCTATCAAAAATGTGATTGAGGACATCATCATCGCCCACAAATTGAACAACCGGCACCTTATCTTCCTTCACCTGCAGGGAGCTCATCATGGTCAACCTAAACAAAGTATAAGTCAATGTGATGAAGAATTCATACCAAATAAACATCTGTGGAATGAACACACAGAATTACCTAACATTTTTAAATGGGGGCGCATTCTATGCACTTCCGCGAGTATGTCCTGCGGTGGAATAACCCTTTTGTACACTGTGAAGACTTGTCACTGTGAGCATTTAATAAACAAAGTGGCTGGCCCAGAGCTCAACAGGATAGAGGCAGGCGGGAAAGTCAAACTGAAAGTTATGGGCTGAGAAAGGGCAGAGTCGGGGAGACGCCAGCCAGCCACACTAGAAAATGAGGTAACAAGCCATGGGCCATGTGGCAAAGCACAGATAAAAAATACTGTTGATTTAAATGTAAGAGTTAGGTAGTAACAAGTCTGAGCTATCTGCTGATCGTGTATAAGTAATATTAAGCCTCTGTGTCGGTTATTTGGGACTGGTGACCAGCGGGGAATGGGTAAGAAACATTGCCTACAACGTCCCTCACTGATGGCTTGTGACTGGGACGCGGAGGCCAAGCCCCTTCTCTCCCAATGTGGTCACCGTCTGTACCACAGCAGCAGGAGGAACTAGGACGCACTAGCAGAAACCCCATTTCTGCCTTTTCTTCTGACAAAAAAACCAAACCAACAAACAACAAAAAAAACTAAGGACTATCTCTCTCACGCAACTTATTTATTACACAGATAGCTAAATGTTGCAAAAATTTTGCTAAATAACCAGCACAATTAAGTAGCTTTTCCATTTACCTTGTAAGGTGCTATGCATTCTGCAGCTTGAAAATTCAGTCACCTGTAACTAGAAGTCAGTCAAGATCAGCAAGTAGGCAAAGAAAAGCAACCCGGGTAGCCACACCCCCAAAGTCAGGCGTTTAACAACACGAGGTATAGATAACTGTCCCCAGAAGCTAGAGCTGCTACAGTGGCACAAAGAGGACACAACAGTAACTGGCCGAAGAGACTGGCAGGAGGGGAGTCAGAGGAAGAAGGAGAGCACTTTCTGAGTTACATAGAGGTCTCGCCACTGTTTCTCTTGTAGTGAGACAAGGGCTTCTCACGTAGCCAAGGCTAGCCTTGAACTCAGAATCCTGCTCAACTTCTCAAGTGCTGGAATCATAAACAAAAACCACCAAACCCAGCTCTTTACAGTTATTCTAATTTAACCCTCAGAGCTCCAAGAGGTTACATTTTGTAGAGAAAAATAACAAATATTTCACCCATAGAGTCAGAACCACACCTAGGAAAGCATGTCCTTCTTGGGTCATTTTATAGCCATAATTCTGCTTTCTAGTCTAGACTCTGAGCATATGAAACAAAATGTGTAATGCATCTATACAGTATCTCTATGAGGAAACTAATAATTTACACTTGAATGAAAAGGCTTCTTTGTTTTTTGCAGGAACTAAGTTTGAGATACTGTATCAGGGACCTTTAGATACAGCAGAAACAGAGTCAAGTACATATGTGTGTAATTACTCTACTTTATAAATAAGCTGTCAGCTAAACAGTAATTTTTTTAATAATTGACACAAATAGAAATCAACTTTGACTGATTCCCAAATTCCTGATCACCTAATTAGACAGCTTGTTCCTTTCTCACTTACCTTGCAAAGCATTTCCTATCACTGAATAAAAATTTTACTCTAAGCCAGGTGGTAATGGCTCACACCCTTAATCCCAGCACTCGGGAGGCTGAAGCAGGCGGATCTCTGTGAGTTAGAGGCCAGCCTGATCTACAGAACAAGTTCCAGGACAGGCTCCAAAGCTACACAGAAAACCCTGTCTTGAAAAAAAAAAAACCCAATAAATAAATAAATATTTTAAAAACCTTACTCTAACTGCTCTCTGAAAACTCTTCCCAGCATGTCATCATAAAACAAAACATGTGGTTCTGGACTTCAGGGCAATGAGCGGAGAAAAAGGGAGTGGAGCAGAGAAGACTGGGACACAATTTTCATTAGCAAAGCTAAATAATCCTCAGGAGTGAATCTTCAAGGACTCTTTCAAAAATAGTGTAGGTAACTAAATATTATGACAGATAATTTCCCTATGGTGATTCACTGTGTAAGTGGGGGGTCAGAAGACAATCTCATATTCCCCACGAGTTATTCCTCTTTGAGACAGGATCTCTTACCAGTCTAGAGCTGATAGAGTAGGCTGGTTACCAGCAACCCCAGGAACCCACCTGGCTCTGCTGCCCCAATTGCTAGGACTGCAAGCTCCCAGGCCACCAAATCTTTTGAGTTTGTTGTTGCTGTTGCTGCTGTTAAATAATATGGGTTTTAGGGATTGAATTCAGGTCCGTGTACTTTTAAGACAAGCACTTTACCAACTGAGCCGTCTCTCTAATACCTATTGCATCTTATTTTTACTGTGTGTGTGTGTGTGTGTGTGTGTGTGTGTGTGTGTGTGTGTGTGTAAGAAACAATGATCTCGTGAATTCCAGACCGGCCTCCAACCAAAGATAAACCTTGAACTTCTGATACAGCTTCTACCTCCCAAACACAAGTGTCACCACTTCTGGCTTACACTATGCTACGGACAGAGACCAGGGCTTCCAGCAGGCTAAGTCAAGAGCTCCAATCGTACTACATACTTAGTCCCTTAATCTACTTCCTGTGATGTCTCACTTTATAATACAAGCTGGCTTTGGATTTACGATTCGGTTACCTCACCTTCGACAGCAGTGGGATCACAGCCACCACACCCAGGCAGTATTTTAATCATCTCCTAGGTGAGGGGGCCCATGTGATCAAGGATGGCCATGGAGGCGGCCCAACATAAAACTGTGAACGTAAACACTGAGTTCTTTTTGCAAGTTTTCTTTTCTTTCTTTCTTTCTTTTTTTTTTTTTGGTAACTGGATTATGATGTTCTCAGCCATGAACTAAGTGGATGACAGCAACACTGTAGCCAAATGTCAAAAAAGGCCGGATGTACCTGCCTTTGGCAATGTTGTCTCTAAATGTCAGAAGGGCTGGGTATGCCTGCAAAGTCTCGTTTGCATTAAAACGCATTTATTTATACAATATATCTGTTTTTGAGTTCAAGATACCTTCTATAGTATGAAAATCATCCCGTTGAAATTTCTACCAAGACCTCCTGAGAGAACTTTCCAACAATGTCCGACAAAACACTATCTAACAAATACACAAAATATGAATGGGGGAGGCTGAGAAGATGGCTCACTGGATAAAGCATTTGTCCCATGAGTGTCAGAACGGGAGCTGAGGTCCTTGCAGCTATTTAAAAGTTGAGCGGGCACTCAGAACTGGGGAGGGCTGTTGAATATTATATGTGAATATGCTTCTACCTCTATTTGTATTGATATATATACATATATTTACATTCCTACCTCTGATTAAGATATTTATGTAATGATATACATTGTTTACATTTGGAGGTTACTGTCCTCACTCATTGCACAGTTGTTCATTCTCTTAGTCTTCAAATTTGATAGATAGAAATCAATAGTCATATATGTTTGTTATATTTATATTTAGGCTAATCAGGTTATTTAGGTGCATAGAGATCATACTTAGTATACATAGTATAATCTTCAACCTCTTCGAAGAGCTATAGAAAATGGCCTTTAATCTAACTCATAGTTCTATAGTAGTGAGACGCAATCGCTCCTGGCATCACCACTCTACTCCCGAGAGAACGTTGAGCACCAAAGACACTCCACTTGGAGATTGTCTTCTTCCTAGCAGAACTGGCCTTTGGGCAAAGAAAAAGCCCATACCTCGACCACTGACAGAATTACAGAATATCCGTAAATGGATAAAAGCAGGATTGTCTTATCTTGCCAAGACAGGATGAGAGAGTCCTAAAAGGTTTCTTGCCTTTGAAAAATGACATGTCAGTTACATCAGGCCTTAGCCAAAGTTGGTTAACTCAACATTGCATACGAGACTTTGGATGATTGCCCAGGTATTCAGTCGTCTCTTCCTTTTGTTGCACATTTCGGAAGTTTCCCGCTTGTACTTCTGGGCTGCTTGAGTAAAATTATTTCCCTTCTCAGATCTCTGATGGAGTTGAAGATTAGATAGTTGTAGTTACCATCTACATTATTTAGACTCCCTAAAATAGAATATTTAATAAAACTTTTGTTATATGTTTCTTGCTTAATATTGTTTGTTGTTTGTAACTTTATATTTATTATATGCTTCTATTGTATATAGTTGTATTTGGTTTTGTTCTGTCTTAATTTTAGAAAAAAGGGGGAGATGATAGGGGAGTTCAGCCAATCACGTTCTGTTCGTGGGGCGTGTTGCCCTAAGGCAAAAGTTTATCTATAAACTTGGCGGGTGAAAGTCCCCACGCTCTCTCTCCCTCTCGACCTGGCTTGGATCCAGCGTTCCGGCAGGGTGAGATTCTGACCCTTCTGTTTTTATTAAAGCTGTATCTTTTGTAAGATAGTCTGGGGACTTTTCATTACCGATCGCCCTGCGTCATCATTGAGGGCGGAGAAAGGGGATCCCTGAGGCAAGCTGCCTAGCTGGGCTAGCCAAACCAGCAAGGCCCGGGGTTCAGTGAGAGCCCCAGCTTCAGTAATCATGGAGAGCAATGAGACAGACATCTAAAATTAACGTTAACCTCTGCCCTCCACATACACACTGGTGGACACACCACACCCCCACAATCAACCAATGAAATACAGATATTCGCAGCGAGCATCTAGGTGTTAAAGGGTCAGTTCTGCACGATCAACAAGGCAAAACAGCAACACCAAGCGTCCGTAGCAACGCGCCTCCTTCCGGGAGTATAAAAACATTTTTACAACCACGCGCTGTCCCAAGGCAACTGCAGCATTAGGGCACCCGGCAGGGATGACAGCACAGCCTTTAGCAGCCGGACCGTCCCGCGACCCCTCGGGACACATCCCCCGCAGTTCCCTCTCCTATTTGAGTGGCTCCTGATCATTCTCTAGCCGGGAAGTCGGCAGGCTGCGTGCAGACCTCTAGCCAAAGGACAGACCGACGCATGGCTTCCGCAGACGGCGCTTCTCACGGGGGAGGCACCGGAGAGGCTGCGTCCCCCGGATTCACCCAGCGTCGCCCAGCGTCACCCAGAATCGCCCAGCATCACTCACGGGGGAGGCACTGGTGAGGCTGCGTCCCCAGCATCGCCCAGCATCGCCCTCTGCGGCGGGCGAGCACCGAGGCCGGCGGCCCTGCCTGCCGGGTGCCCTGGGGGAGCGAGCAGCGAGTCGCGGCTGCAGCGGGGCCGCACCGACACTTACCTCACGCGCGTCAGTGATGCTGGGCGATGCTGGGT